CTTAAATGGTGGGGCTGTTCCCTTTCTTCCTATCTGCTTCCATCTGGCTTCTTGTAACATGGATGTTGTAGCCACCTATCTTGAATGATGCAAAGGCAGACAACGTGCCAAGGGTGGTGAAGTGACAAGGTAGATCACACAGTTCTCCCAACCGTCGATCCAGAGCTGGGTTGATCTGGCCAGAGTTGGTACTTCTGTCTGGGTTGATCCCAGAGAGTGTCCTCAAGAACGTGGGTTTGAGCTTCTTAAACCTTTCTCCCCAAGGAATCCCCGGGCAAATAGAAGAGATAGAATGTTATCCCCTGGGGAGTCTGGGGCTGTAGCCTAAAGCAGGTGACTCCAAAGGGAAATTTCTTTGAAATATTTTGCTTTATTTCATTCATGCATGCATTCACTCTTTTATTCATGTGTTTATCAAACATAGTGCAACACAAATTAAGTGCCAGGCATTGTTTTACACAAGGGCACACAAAGCCCTGCTCTCTTGGTGCTTATATTCTCATGCAAGATAGACATTAAACAGATAAGCACATAAATTATCAGCAAGATAATTGCTGATTGTGTTAAGGGCCATGAAGGAAATAAAGCAGAGTAGTCTAGTACAGAGTATATATACCTCTCTGTGCCTCAATGGACTCATCTGAAAAATGGAAATAATAATAGAGGTCTGTAATTCCAAAATCTCCAAACTGAAAGCTTTGTCCTCACTCAGTCAACGGCAAACATATGACTTGAATTCATTTGGAGGTGAATCTTGATCTGAACTTGAGTAAGTTAGTTTTCTTTCTTCCTTCCTTCCTTCCTTCCTTCCTTCCTTCCTTCCTTCCTTCCTTCCCTTGATTTTTCTTCCTCCCTCCCTCCCTGCCTTCCTTCCTTCCTTTCCCACTTAGTGTGGATAATTCTTTGTTTCACTGCACAAAATTTTAAGTGTTTGGTGATGGGATACTGCCCCAGGCCCCAGTAAGAACATTACATAACATGTGGATCCATATATCCTATTACCTTCTAAGATCTGAAAAATACTTAGTTCCAAAACACAGCTAGCCCCAGAGGTTTTGGGTAAGGATTGAGGGTCTGTAGTACCACTCACATGTGGTTCTTATGAGTTAATATATCGAAACATTGAAAATGATGCTCAGAATATAGCAAGTGCTGCTTACTAGAGAAAGCCTGACTGAGTGTGTGTTATTTATGTAGACACCTGAGGGATGAGAATGACCTGGCTGTGGGAAGAGGAAGGGAACGATAATTTCAGGAAGAGGGAACAGCAGGTGCCAAGACTGGTTCGAATGCGGAACAGAAAATAGGCCAGATGTCTGGTGTGTGGTCAAAACAGGGGAAGGATGGTTCAAGGTCATGGAAGTAGGGTGGGAGTCAGAACATGCATGATATAAGCAATAATAAGGATTCAAAGTGTAATAGGAAGTCACTGTAGTTGATGTGACTCATATTTATAATGAATGCTTTCATGCTGTTTGATGAATGGCTTGTAGAGGAGACAGAGAATTGGGGGACCATTTTGGAGCCTCTTGTGGTAGTCTGGGTAAGACCTAATGGCTAATGGGGGTAAGGAGGTGGCAGTAGACATGGAGAAAAGTGGACGAGTGCAAGAAAAAGTTTAGAAATATGGAAGGATAAGAGACTTTCTGATTAATTTTCCATTCTAGTTTATACTATGTCCATATGTAGAGTCATTTCACGGTCATTGTCTCAGGTATGTTAAGGTCAGGGTTTGCTGGACCCAGCTCATACAGGCTTGCCAGATCAATTCTGCACATCCCTCCCCAACTCTGCACTGAACGGCATCACACTGGCAGTTGCAAATTGGCCATGGTGGGAGTCTTTACACTATGGGAATTTGCAAATGCTGCAGATCAGGACTTAACAAATCAGAGATGTGGGCGGGGGAAGGACAGCGGTTGTTAAACCACTCTTATTATGCCTATAACTCAACTGCCTTCATCTTAGAGCATTCGTTTCCCCCCCATCATAGAAATACTTAAACTAGGCATATTCCGGAGAACTCAGTTGATGGCTGTCACTTCATGTTTTTAACTCGCTAATTTAGGGATCCCCCCAGTTCTTCCCAGGATCTCATTTAGGTTCATGGGAGTGGGCTCATAAGAGGGTACCTGGTTCACAATTTGTCCTTTATTCATTTGGCCCCATTTAGAATACAACTCACCTCCCAGGTCAACAGTAACACCCTTCGCAGCATTACTTATTACCTTCCGATAGTGGAGTTCACGAACTCATCATGTCTTCTGGCAGAAGCATGGCTGGAGATGGGGTCCAGGGTCTGGGATCCCATAATCAGGGACCATAAAAATAGCTCCCTCTGCATCTCTCCTTTTCCCATCTTGACTCAACCCCTCCTCCCTGAGTGATGAACATTTCTCCTAAATCTTTGAGTAAGATTGATGCTCAAGGGAGATATACCACGTTTATCTATGAGCTTCCTATAACCCCTGGCCTATTGCCATATCTCCCCAGGGATCTGAGTGCTCCACATTGGGGAGTATAGCCTGAAAGGATAACTAGAATTTTGATGGGTGGAAATGGTAGAACAGACTAGTCCAGGTGAAAAGACTTGCAAGTCAGGGAGCTACACATTGGGCTTGGGGTTAGTGACTAGAGAAGCTGAGAGGGGCGTTGTATCAGGTGAGCCTGGACAAGTGGTATAAATAAAGCCAATTACTGGAAGACTTTGGATGCCATGACACAAAGTTAGGGCTCATTCTGTAAAAAAGGGGGAAAAAAGAAAATAATTTGAAAGACTTTAGAGTAATGTAATCTGATTAATCTTAGGGAAGCTTAATAGTTTGGGTGGATTGGAAGAGCAAGAGCCTGAGATCAAGGATGAAGTTTTAGCTAAAATGGCAAAGCAAGGAGGATGTCAAGGAGGTCAATGAAGAACGTCAACTGGACTCAGTGAATGGTTTTAATGAGGAAGAGGAGGAGACAGGGTGGTGAAAGAGAAAAAAAGAGACAATGTTGTACCTCTAACTTCAACTCTAGGCATCTCAAGATGCATGAAGAAGCTCTTTGAGATCCTTCTGAACCATCTTTCATTAGAGAAAAAGAAAGCTGGGGGGAAATTTGCTTATTTACCTGTATTAGAGGAATTAAGGGAAGTAGGCATTTGGTTTATTAGATATCACCATATTTGGTTGATTCAGTCAATGGGGAAGACAAAAGCATTAATTGATCTAGAAGCTTGTTGTAGAGACACAGGCTACATCATTCCATAGATAAGCACCTGTTAAACTAAAACCAGTGTTCTGGAGTAAAATATTGATAGAGATCCTGAAACTTGAGGGCAAGTCCCTGGTTAAACCACCCTCTAAGGCAGGGCAAGTTCAAGTTAATATGGTGATTAGCAAAGCTCTTTAGTACTTCCCATACTACCTTTTAAGGTCTTTCTCCCCTGGGTCCCAGTTTCTCCCCTGATAAATCTGGATGCCCAAGAATCAGCATTATGGGCAGTTTGCCATATGTCCCAGTTTGCCTAAGAGAGTCTTGGTTTTCTGTCAATAGTCTTAGCGTAATTATATATTTTTTTCTTAAAGTTTATTTATTTTTAGAGAGAGAGAGAGGGAGAGAGAGCAAGCACATGAGTGGGAGAAGGGCAGAGAGAGAGGGAGAGAGAGAATCCCAAGCAGGCTCTGCATTGTCACCACAGAGCCCAACGCAGGGCTCAATTTCATGGACAGTGAGATCATGACCTGAGCCACAATCAAGACTGGGATGCTTAACTAACTAAGCCACCCAGGTACCCCTAGTCTTAGCATAATTCTTAATAGGTCTGCCTTCCTTTCACTCTCATAAGTATCCTCTTTTTTAAAATTTTTAAAAATGTTTTATTTATTTTTGAAACGGAGAGAGAGGCAGAGCGCAAGTGAGGAAGGGGCAGAGAAAGGGAGATACACAGAGTCCGAAGCAGGCTCCAGGCCCTGAGCTGTCAGGACAGAGCCCGATGCAGAGCTCCAACTCATGAACCATGAGATCGTGACCTGAGCTGAAGTCAGAAGCTTAACTGACCGAGCCACCCAGGCATCCCCATAAGTATCCTCTTTGATCAATCAGGAGTCACCCAGACGGTTCCCTGTCTGCTCTGCTCTCTCCTTTCCACATTTCTGTAATGTAAACCCAATGTGTATGGGATTCTGTGTATCTCCCTCTCTCTGCCCCCTCCTCACTTGTGCTCTGTCCATCCCCAAATCATCTTGGATTTCTAAAAACAATCCAAGAGGAAAGCCAGCTCATAGAATGGCAGTGCTACTTAGGATATTGAGAGCCTTGAATATTGTGAGGTGTAATGTGCAATGTGTACCAGAGCAGGCTTAGCACACAAACAGTAATTGCACTAAAGTCTTAATGTGTTATTTGTCCCAATGTATTTTCATTTTAATATTCTTTCATCCCCAAATTTCAGACTTTGGCAGCTAGTTGATAGCTCTTCCATTGCACTATTTTTAAATTTTTTTTTTCAACATTTATTTATTTTTTTTGGGACAGAGAGAGACAGAGCATGAACGGGGGAGGGGCAGAGAGAGAGGGAGACACAGAATCGGAAACAGGCTGCAGGTTCTGAGCCATCAGCCCAGAGCCTGACGCGGGGCTCGAACTCACGGACCACGAGATCGTGACCTGGCTGAAGTCGGACGCTCAACTGACTGCGCCACCCAGGCGCCCCCCATTGCACTATTTTTAAATAATAGTGAATAGGAAAGTGTGCGTCTATCACTTTGAAAGCTATGTAACTGAAAGGCTAAGATGCTAAAAGCTAAAAATGTAACTAAATTATTATGAACCTTAGTAGTAGACAAACACAGTCACGGAGTGGGAGATGTCGTCCAGGCAATGGAGAATAAGACTTGATTTGTTTATTTTAAACTGTAGCAAAAGAGAGGCAGCAAATAGGAATTTTCAAATCTGATTCTTGGTATATTTTAGAACGATTTAGAATGATGGTGATTTGTTCTTTCTTATACTTTCAGGTGTTTCCAATGTGGACATTGAAGAGACAGTCCCTTATCCTTTTTAACATAATCCTAATTTCCAAACTCCTTGGAGCTAGATGGTTTCCCAAAACTCTGCCCTGTGATGTCACTCTGGATGCTCCAAAGGCCCATGTGATTGTGGACTGCACAGACAAGCATTTGACAGAAATTCCTGAAGGTATTCCTACCAATGCCACCAACCTCACCCTCACCATCAACCACATACCTGGTATCTCTCCAGCTTCCTTCCACCAGCTGGACTACCTGGTAGAGATCGATTTCAGATGCAACTGTATACCTATTCGACTTGGGCCAAAAGACAATATGTGTCCCAGGAGGCTGCAGATTAAACCCAGAAGCTTTAGTAGACTCACTTACTTAAAATCCCTTTATCTGGATGGAAACCAGCTTCTAGAAATACCTGAGGGTCTTCCCCCCAACTTGCAGCTGCTGAGCCTTGAGGCCAACAGTATCTTTTGTATCATGAAAAATAACCTAACAGAACTGACCAACATAGAAAAACTCTACTTGGGCCAAAACTGTTATTTTCGCAATCCTTGCAACGTTTCATTTTTCATAGAAAAAGATGCTTTCCTGAGTCTGAAAAATCTAAAATTGCTCTCCCTAAAAGATAACAATATCACATATGTCCCCACTACATTGCCATCCACTTTAACAGAACTCCATCTTTATAACAACGCCATTGCAAAAATCCAAGAAGATGATTTTCATAACCTCAATCAACTGCAAATTCTTGACCTAGGTGGAAACTGCCCTCGTTGTTACAATGTCCCATTTCCTTGTACACCCTGTGAGAATAATTCTCCCCTACAGATCCACATGAAGGCTTTTGATGCATTGACAGAATTACAAGTTTTACGTCTATACAGTAACTCTCTTCAGCATGTGCCCCAAAGATGGTTTAAAAACATTAAAAAACTTAAGGAGCTAGATCTTTCACAAAACTTCTTGGCCAAAGAAATTGGGGATGCCAAATTTTTGCTTCTTCTTCACAACCTTGTCCAATTGGATCTGTCTTTCAATTATGAACTTCAGGTCTATCGTGCAACTCTGAATCTATCGGATGCATTTTCTTCACTGAAAAACCTGAAAGTTTTACGGATCAAAGGATACGTCTTTAAGGAGCTGAGCAGCCATAACCTCTCCCCATTACGTAGTCTCTCCAATCTTGAAGTTCTTGATCTTGGCACTAACTTCATAAAAATCGCTGACCTCAGCATATTCGAACAATTTAAAACATTGAAAGTCATAGATCTTTCAATGAATAAAATATCACCTTCAGGAGATTCAAGTGAAGTTGGCTTCTGCTCTAACACCAGAACTTCTGTAGATGGTAATGCACCTCAGGTCCTTGAAACATTACATTATTTCAGATATGATGAGTATGCAAGGAGTTGCAGGTTCAAAAACAAAGAGACTCCCTCTTTCTTGCCTTTTAATAAAGATTGTTATGTGTATGGGCAGGCCTTGGACCTAAGTAGAAATAATATATTTTTTGTCAAGTCCTCTGATTTTCAGCATCTGTCTTTCCTCAAATGCCTAAACTTGTCAGGAAATACCATTGGCCAAACTCTCAATGGCAGTGAATTTCAGCCTTTAGTGGAGTTGAAGTATTTGGACTTCTCTAACAACCGGCTTGATTTACTCTACTCAACAGCGTTTGAGGAGCTACGCAACCTGGAAATTCTAGATATAAGTAGTAATAGCCATTACTTTCAATCAGAAGGCATTACTCACATGCTAAACTTCACCAAGAACCTAAAAGTTCTGAAGAAACTCATGATGAACAACAATGACATCTCTATGTCCACCAGCAGGACCATGGAGAGTGAGTCTCTTAGAATTCTGGAATTCAGAGGAAATCATTTGGATGTTTTATGGAGAGATGGTGATAACAGGTACTTAAAATTCTTCAAGAATCTGCTAAACTTAGAGGAGTTAGACATCTCTGAAAATTCCCTGAGTTTCTTGCCTTCTGGCGTTTTTGATGGCATGCCTCCAAAACTAAAGACTCTCTCCTTGGTCAAAAATGGGCTCAAGTCCTTCAACTGGGGAAGACTCCAGTATCTGAAGAATCTAGAAACTTTGGACCTCAGCTACAATGAGCTGAAGAGTGTCCCTGAGAGATTATACAACTGTTCCAGAAGTCTCAAGAAACTGATTCTCAAGTACAATCAAATCAGGCATCTGACAAAGCATTTTCTACAAGATGCTTTCCAGTTGCGATACCTGGACCTCAGCTCAAATAAAATCCAGATTATCCAGAAGACTAGCTTTCCAGAAAATGTCCTCAATAATCTGGAGATGTTACTTTTGCATCATAATCGGTTTCTGTGCACCTGTGATGCTGTGTGGTTTGTCTGGTGGGTTAACCATACAGAGGTGACTATTCCTTACTTGGCCACAGATGTGACTTGTGTGGGGCCAGGAGCACACAGGGGCCAGAGTGTGGTCTCTCTGGATCTGTATACCTGTGAGGTAGATCTGACTAACCTGATCCTGTTTTCACTTTCCGTATCGGTGGCTCTTTCTCTGATGGTGATTACAACAGCAAACCACCTCTATTTCTGGGATGTGTGGTATAGTTACCATTTCTGTAAGGCCAAAATAAAGGGGTATCAGCGTCTGACATCACTGGATTCTTGCTACGATGCCTTTGTTGTGTATGACACTAAAGACCCAGCAGTGACAGAGTGGGTTTTGGATGAGCTGGTGGCCAAGTTGGAAGACCCAAGAGAGAAACATTTTAATCTGTGTCTTGAGGAAAGGGATTGGCTACCAGGGCAGCCAGTTCTGGAAAACCTTTCCCAGAGCATCCAGCTTAGCAAAAAGACGGTGTTTGTGATGACAAACAAGTATGCAAAGACTGAGAACTTTAAGATCGCATTTTACTTATCCCATCAGAGGCTCATGGATGAAAAAGTAGACGTAATTATCTTGATATTCCTTGAGAAGCCCCTTCAGAAATCCAAGTTCCTCCAGCTCCGGAAGAGGCTGTGTAAGAGTTCCGTCCTTGAGTGGCCGACAAACCCACAGGCCCACCCGTACTTCTGGCAGTGTCTGAAAAATGCCCTGGCCACAGACAATCACGTGACCTATAGTCAGGTGTTCAAAGAGACGGTCTAGCCCTTCTTTGCCAAGCGTGACTACCTGACCTACCAAGGAAAAGCTTGGCTGTCTAGATTGTCCCATGAATGCCTCACTAAAAGGGTGTTGTTAAAGTCTCCAAGACCTGGGATTATCCACATCAGAGAGGAGAGTCACAGTGTATGACAAAGGAATTGGAAAAATGGAATTTCTATAATGCATCACATCATCTTTCCGATCTCTCTGTGACTCCATTGGCACTTGAGTCTCCCCTTTCTGTTTCTGTATAAGACACGACTGGGAGAAGGGCGGCAAGGAGAGGACATAAGGCTCTGATTCTCCTGTAATTCTCTTGTGATTATTAAATACACACACAATCACGAAATTCAGAGGAATCGTGCTTCTACTCCTAAGAAGTACCGCTATGTATGGAAATAGGGTAAAAGATGCTCAGGGCCTACGTGTATGACATCACAATGTACTAGATAGAGTTAGTGAAATGAAAACACAGGGAACGCAACTGATTGCTTCTGCATCACCTAGCGCCCCCTTCTGCACAGATCGACTGTTGCCCTCTCCAGAACCAGGCGGCACAGGCACTCTGACCCTGGATGTCTGTCCTTTGGAACTGTGAGAAAAAAGTGTTAAGTCATCCAGTTTATGATACTTTGCTATACAGCATCCTGAGCGGACTCAAACAAAGATTTTTATCTGCATTGCAAAAGGACTATAGCCAAAGTAAAATTGCCTCATCCAATGGTCTTTGAAACTGCTTTGCTAACTAATATCGTATATCTGTAATTATCTGCCAACTTGATCCATCAACATTAGGTGGTTTTTATTATTATTATTATTTTTAACATTGGATGGTTTTGATGGTAAACTCTGAAGGAGGACCCCCAAGAACATTTATTTATTTATAGTTATCAGGCAGGGATGACAATTCTTTGGATTCCTTTAAATTGCATGGGGGAGGAGAAGCCAAGGTTTACAGACCTCAGCACTCAGAAAGCTTCAGTCTTGAACCCCAGCTTTTGCCCTCAATGGCAGTAATAGAAAGGACCAAGACATTCTGAAGACACACATACTTTCAACTGGGCATAAAGCCACATGAGCTCAAAGTTTGAAACCTGATCACTTTGCTTTATTTCAGGAAAACAGTGACCTACCGAGGTGTCTGTGCCCTTTGGAAAATAGTGTGCATGGGTTCAAATCTCAGAGCATTAGTTGGGAGATATTGTATTTTCCTCATGTATCAAAATGCCAAGGGTTGTAAGTATAGCTGTAAATACACAGTATATGAATTATTTCCAAAGGACTTGTAATCAATAAGGGTCACAAATTCCCAAATTAATCTCTGGATGAGATGAATAAAGACATAAGCTGCAAGAACCAACTATTTGTCGATGTCTTTAAGCCTTATTGTACTTAACAGATGCCTTTCTTCTTCAGTGAAAACAAAGGTAATATCATAACAATCGGCTCTTGGCCATCATAAAGTTTCTTCTATCACATCTACACATAATGTTGAGGTTATTTTGGTGATTTATAAACCATAAAGCACTTGGAGACAACTTAAACATCTTCTGAAATGGATTAAGAGGAAGGGAAACTGAAAATCATGCATCTCAGAAACCACAGCATATTTTGACATGAGGCTATGTACAGGGTTTATTGTAGAAAACAACTGAAAGGACATCAATTACATTCTTTGTAATCTTGGTTAATCACTCTTAACCTTCTGAGAGCTCTATGTGGAGTTCTGTACTGCCAGGTGCCCTCCAAAGCTCTGAATGTCCTGCTTCTCGGCTGACACCCGTCTGGTTGGCTCCATTCTGGAAGGGACTCTGGACTCTCCATAGATCCCACACCACTGTCAAGGCTTGGCCCCCAGTTCCTTTCACCTCTGGACTTGCGAGGTTGTGTCCTTCCTCCTCAGACACATCCCGTGCCTCAGCAAGACTTGGGCATTGGCGGATCCAAGCCAAGGGGGAGCATTTGGCAGGGCAAATATTATGGCTGACAGAAGGCAAAGCAAGTGTCTGTGGTCTCTAGAGGAGAGAGGGGATCAGTGTGACCATAGCTCTGTGTCTGCGTCAGGTCTCCTGGCCCCATCCTCACGTCTATTTCCCGCTCTATTTGGACACTCTTAGGCCTGTGTAGATGGTCTCTTAAACGTAGTCAGAAAACATAGGGTACATGAGGAGGATGGTAACTTGAGAACCTGGGCGTGTTGCTCCCCAGGCTCATAGGAAACTAATGGGTCTAGCAAGAAACAGGTTGCACATCCTGCGAGGTATTTTATTTTTTATTTCTTAATATTAATACGTGTAGTAATGTTTATTAATTTATTTATTTTGAGAGAGAGCACAAGCGGGGGTGGGGGCAGAGAGAGAGGGAGAGAGAGACAATCCCAAGCAGGCTCTACTCTGTCAGCGCAGAGCCCAGCTCAGCAGTCGATCTCACGAACCGTGAGATCATGACCTGAGCTGAAATAAAGAGTCAGAAACCTAACCCACCGAGCCGCCCAGGCACCCTGATGGCTCAATTTTAACACAGGGGTGGGGATAAGGTTCGATTTGTCCTCTGCCTCTTCTGCACGTGCTAAAGGCAGATTTACCAGACAGGCTTTGGGGTGCGTCCCTCCTTGGAGCTTTGGGCGTCAGTACTCAAGAGCAGTTGGTACATGGGACACACCACCAGTCGCATCCGCTAGAAGATGGAGCTCTTGACCCTAAAGAACACTGGGAACCACTTTGGAGAACACCAGGCCCGAAAATTAACCCATCTGACTGAGTTCATGTGATGAGGGAGAACAGGGGGCTGACCAACCGACCAACCGACCAACCAAGTGAAGGGGAAAGTGGAAAAGAAAAAGTCATGATGTGACGGTACGCAGTGGCCGGCTGACACGGGGGTCACGCGTGCACCGTGCTGGCGACAGCGTGATGACCACAGGGCAGGCTCATGCTGTTTTAGGTTTTACGTCTCTCTCATCTTTCTGCTTTTGCTTCCCCCCCACCCCCTCTCAGTTTCCTTTTTGGCTTTAGACGCCCACGGCAAGCCTCGTGGAGTGCACAAGAACAAAGAGAAAGGGCAGTGGTTGCAGGTGGGGATCTTCGGTTTGGAAGCAGTGGTTTTGTGTGTGCTACTGGCTTAAAACCGATCTCTTTCCCCCACACACCCGGAGTCAATCCCCATCTGTCTCAGTGAGCACGGCCTTCCACGATCAGCTCGGCAAGACCTTCCCTGGGTCACACTGGCTGGACTCTGCTCTTTGCCACCTTCAAATTCATATTCTTTCTACTTCTCTCACATTTTAGCCACACGAGTTAAGAAATGGGATAAGATCCGGTACTCTGCCTTTCGATTACCTTCATCTTGGGTCGTAACCAATTTCTTTTTTTTTTTTTTAATATTTATTTTTGAGAGAGAGAGAGAGAGAGAGTGTGTGTGTCTGTGTAGGGCAGAGAGAGAGGGGACAGAGGATCAGAAGCAGCCTTCGCAATGACAGCAGAGAGCCTGACATGGGGCTTGATCTTGGGCCCATGAGATTGAACCATGAGATCATGACCTGAGCTGAAGTGGGATGCTTAACTGACTGAGCCACCCAGGTGCCCCAGGTTGTAGTCAATTTCTAACATGTTTGTTATACAGTTCAATGGTTTTATTTCTCCCTCTTTCTCTCTCTAGATAGATAGATATCTATGGATAGATAGATATAGATAGATATCTTATAATCTTGGAGATTTATATTAATTAAATGTTTTGGGGGAGCCCACACTTAAACTGACTGAGGAGGTTGGAGTTCTAGTGTCTTACAAGGAGCTTCGTCTAGAAACAGCAGTCTGGTAGGATCTAGAAGGAAAGAGGAAGTTCTGGTGGCCCCGTGGCAGTTTTCTGACATCCCTAGAGCCCACCAGTGGGCAGGCTGAGGTCGGCAGCTGCTTCCACACACGGAAAACGGTTCTTCGTGTGGCAAGGCCCGAGGGCCAAGGCCAGACAGGCACAGCCAAGTAGGATGCCACATTTGTCTTGTATGATACACATGACTGCTTCACGTCTCACTGGCCAAGGCGATGCGGTGGGTCGTAGATTCCAGGGGTTTTCACAATGGCGAATTGCATGAGTTGACATCTTGAGCAAAAGTGTAGTAACACCTGCATGAACCCCACAATGAGGCTCATTGTCTAGGGGTCCACACTGCTAAGAACAGTACTTGGGCTGTTTTGGAAATTAGAACCAGTCTGCTGTCCTGTAGTCACCCCTGGGACCGTGGGGAACACCCCAGGGCCAGGTCCAAATGGAAGCCCACCAAGCAGGACTCTGTTACCAGGGATTATGTTAACACATTACTCTTCTCCGTTAACACATCATGATGGATTCATTTGCGAGATAATCAACTCTCCAGAGCAGGCCACCTAAGTAAACAGAACACAGGAAATGTGTTCTGAACGGAGAGCACACGAATCTGAAATAATCACAAATTTGGCTCCTATTCGTGAGGGCAGGTCCCCAAAGGGGAGGATAGGGCAAGGAGAGAGTGAGGAGGATCTTAAGAAGAACAGTGTAAGATGAAGTTACTGGGACCCAGACAGTGTTATGGAATGGAGTGTGGAGAAGGAAGAGGGGGAGGAGGGAAGGAAGTCACATTTCTTAAGCAGCAAATGCAAACTAATGCTTCATTCATTCCATTAAATCTTCACATCGCCTCTACGAGGCTGGTATTAGGAGCTCGATCTTGAAGATGATGGGGTAACTCAGAGATATAGGTGAGATCAGAGGGGTTAGGTCAACTACCCAGGGTCACAGAGGAGGTAAGTGGTTCTCCCCAAAACTGACCCAGCTCTGTCCAAGCAGTTCAATTCGTTCTCCAATTTTACCCGGGACCAGAATCAGTCTCCGGAGCTTGGAAACCACACCAGAGAGCCTGATCTCTGGGACCCAGGAATCTACACTTCTACAAATAGCCCGCGTGCTTCTGACGCAGCTGGTCCACAGAGCCCAGTTTAAGAAGTACCACAGACTGTTAATAGAGGGCTCACTTCAGCAAGGAAAGCCTGAGTTGCCCCAGGTATGCTCAGTGTCTCCTTCTCTACAGAACCCTCGGTGCTCTTAACCCACTGCTAGGGAGCGGAGCTGCACTTAAATTGTTCCCCCCAGGCACCTGTTTTGGAGGGGTATAATTTACATTGGATTGGAAGTTCTGTTCAAGGCTAAAATGCGAAGACAATTTGGACAAGTACACTGGACAGATTTAGGCAGAGACAAGTAAGTGGCCAACTGATTTGCAGTCCCTGAAGTCCTGACAAATAGAGGTGCTGCTTATATTCGCAATTTAAAGGTGTCTTTAGTCCAATTTTCCTAGCATCTGACTGAATTAGTGGTTCTATGCATATGGCAAAGAGTGCCACCTAGCAGAAACTCATGGCTGTTGATGTTCGTTTCCTGAGACCCTTGGCTGGGGGTCTTCAAAGCGAGGTGTAGGAAGAAAATATAAAAATAGATACAATCATCTTTTCCAAAGTGTGTTTGGGGCTATTTTATCATATACCCATTGTATTAATACAGAAATATGTAGGGGTGTGTGTTCACTGTTGTCCATCGATGAGAAGACAGTATAAAAAATGTTGAAGACCGTAGATGATCGAATCTTGGTTTTGACCATTTATTTCCATTGCCCCCAATGTTACGCTGTGGTTTAAGCAAAGATGGAATCCCTCTTAGTATGTCTCACACTCTCTTACTCTCAACCTCTCTCGCTGAGTGCCCCCACTCATATTTCTGAATCATCTAACCA